CTGAAGTATTCTCTCTGGAAAGCTAGGACCTTTTGTTTGAATAGAGTAGACGAAAGAATTTCGCTAGTTTACATGTGAAGCGCCGATTCGTAAATGGGTTTTCGAGAAAGCCAGTAAATTAGATTTATGAGATGTGTTCGTTTAAGACGATGAACAACCGGTGGTTGCATTTTTCCACGATGACATGAGTACAGCTGACTTTGCAATTCGTTGCTTTCCAGAAGATATTCTCATTCTGGCATGAGTGGATTTCAGTTTTGACCTCGCTGAGCTGGTCTCATCAGCACCCCTGGTGGGAGTCGAACCCGGATTGTGGCAGTAGAACGCATATTCTCGGCCACGAACTAATTTTAAACGAAGCCTATGCCCTTCCCATGTCACATTTCGGTGGCGGGATTGTCGATGAAGCAAATTTATATTTGCGATAGCAATAGACTACATTTCCTATTTTTATTTTGTAAGTGAACATATTTTATATATCCAATTTAATGGTATTCTCAAAACCATACTTACTTTGCCGTAGCAAATACTCTATCGACAATCGCACCACAGAATGCGATATGGGAAAATGCCTGACCTTCCTTGAAATTCACACTTGCTCTGTAACGCAAGGTCCTATTCGTAAACGTTTCGAGATTACCCACTGCACCGTCATGGTTCGAGTCCCGCTGGGGCTGGGGATGAGATCAGTTCAGTCTGGATGAGAATGTCTTTTGGGAAAGCAAAGCTCTGTGAAATTCGAATGATTGTGGGAAAATTCAGCTTGAGTCCTTCATCAACCAAAACAAAATAGGGCAAAAGTATCTCATATAACTTAGTTACTAGTAGTCTCGAAACGCTACTCACAAACGACAAATGGTAATTTATGTCGTGAAAACTTTTTTATTTCTTGATTTCCAACTTGCTGTTCCACCTTTACTGTACATTTCCTCATTATTGAGGCATACTTTAAAACATGCTGGCCAATTTGCACAATATTCATTTGCCCATTCTTCTTCACAAATTCGCGTATCAAATTGTGCATTTTGACGATATAAAGCCCTGCTCGAAAGCCAACTCTTCCATCAAGTGGGCTCCTCCAAATCCGTCTGCTCCGCTGGACCGTCTGGCTTGGCACAGCCGAGCCACTCTGGCGTCGAGGGGAAGACGGCGACGGGAGGCATCGCAACCGTGTCCAGCGTCGGCTCGACGGTCGCAGGTGCCATCCCTTGTCCGGCCGACGGAAAGACCCTCGAGGCTGGCCAGTTGTACCATCAACAGGAGGAGCAGAATTCCGCCTCCGCCACCCTCGCGGCCGGCGTCTCGACCATCTCCGAGATCCCGGCTGACCTGCTTTTGGCCGCGTTCAAGCGCCACTTGCCCGTGGTCCTGCCCTCCGGACCGCCCGAAACGATGCCCGAAGCACAGTGAGTCCCACTTTTACAGCCATTCTCACATGTTCCTTTCCGCTGTCTTTAGCATACACTCTCTGACCCTTCGTCATGTCTGCAGTTTTCGCGTGGAAGGTAGGATCAGTTGAATTTTCATCTTTTCACAATGATCACTTTGTATCGAGAGGCCGATGGAAGCGATTTGTGGTTTGGCCAAAGGAGGATTGAACCCAGCGATTTCTCGATGTCGATTTGTGAAAACAAGTCATCAACTCGACTTCGATAAGGCTTCCAACGATGAGCTTTCGTCCATATTGCCTTGGAGACTTTCGTTTCGTGTGAAACTGCATGAGGAAGAGACTTGAAGGTCGATCTTGCCAGATCAAGAATGGTTTCGGTTATGACATGACGTTCAGATTGACACAGTCTACAAGACACACTCCCTGGTTTCGCGTGAACAATGAGAAAAATTAATTTTTTTTAATTTTTGTAATATTATTTCTCATCTTAAGTTGAGTATGTTTTCATCCTTACTTATGAGTATATTACGCATGTAGGATGTAGTAGGATGGTCTTCTTGACTTTGTATTAACCATAAACTTTAGCAAAAAAGAGTTCCAGCACCGGAGATGTCTGTCATGTGGTATGACAGACGAAAGGTCAGTCGATTTTTATCCGAAACGAGAGAGGACTTGATAGCGTTGATAGGGAAGCCGTCCTTTGGTGATTGCGTTGTTAAGAGACAGCACGGCCCATGTATCTACCAGTTTCTCATATCTGCTTCTGCATCACTGAAGTCTTTTCATGAGCAAAGGTGAGTGGGGCTGTGCATCTAAATGAAACGGCAAAATCAATCAAGTATAAATCAAATCATATAAATGTACTATTGAGCACAAAAGGAGTAAAATAGATACACTAAAATGAATAGATCAAATCTTCAAAAGATCACCTCAATAGACGCCGTATGAAATTCTGAAGTGAAAATGATCATAAATAAAGCTGAACTAGCAACCGATACTGATTCCTTGAACGAATGGCTCCCAGTACAACAAGAGAGTTATTCTTGTTGTTTTTAATAGGATTCTAAGTGAATCGACAAGCTGATAACTTTATTCCGTCCTGCAACCATCTTTCATGAATATAATATCAAAATAAATAGAATATACACAAATCGTATAAGGGAGGAATGACTCAAATAATTAAATTAAACAAGAACAAATCAAAAATAAACTGAGCTAATTAAATCAGATAAATCAAATTTTATAAAAATTATCTCTACAGCAGTTTTTTGCAATCTTGAAGTACAAATTATAATAAGCGAAGATAAACTAGCAATCGAGTCGGCAAATGAATAGCCTCTTTCCTGCCTGAAAAGCCACCTCCCTCGGGCCCGCCATAGCACCAGGCTACCAAGACCGAGTGCCGGCCCTCGTCGAAGTCGCCCAGACGAGTTGCATCGTTTGTAGGCTTTAGGCATACTTACGAAGAGAAGCTGAGTTTCGATGAATAACTTAGTACAGTGATTCCCAAATTGTGCGCCGTGGCGTCCCGGGAAGCCACGAAATATTGTTGAAGCTTCAATTTGAGAAAATGTGCAGTGATTTTCACACTCATCCATCACATTAATCATTAAATATTAATTTAATGTTGATAAAGTATGAAAAAATAAAAATGAATATACGCGAGTTTTATATATTTTTATCTCTAACTTACGAATAGGCATAGTTAGGGTAGAGCGCCATGGAAAAATTTTAATTGAAAAAGGGCGCCGTGACTGGGAAAAGTTTGGGAACCACTGCCTTAGTAGATTGATATTGGCGTACCTTTCATCTCGTTTAAGAAGGCAGATGGAAAGGATTCTTAGATTTACCGCACCGGATACCGAAGGAGGGTTGCCTTGGACTTTTATCTGTTGAATTGTGCGAAGAAGACCTCGACTCACCGTCCTACCACCCCGATGACTCCGTGCTGAGCTTTCGTCCGTCCTGTGACGGACATCGTCAGAGCCAGAAACCATTATACACGGCTGAAATCTAACCTTCAATACCTCCTTTTGCGATCTTATTGAGGCATCTCATGAGTTGGTTTGGAAATGATCCAGCATATGATCGTGTAATCCTGAGGCTTGTTATAACTTTGTGGATGTATGTTCATGTGTGTATGTAACAACTGCGAGTTGGTTGGCAAAAAAAGACTCCAGCCTAGTCAAGTCTCCTCCTCTTACCCATTAACCATTCATTGTCTTTCTCTCTTCCACACACACACTTTATTCAACAGTAAAAGGTAGTTCTTACTTAGTTTCCTACATTCATTCCTCTTATTCGCGATGTTGTCTGTTTTGCTAACTTTAATCGACTCCCTAATCTTCTGCTTAACTGCCAAGGTCCGATGTCTGGCAACACGTTGGGATTTGGACCATTCTATCTGATGTCCTGTAGCGACCACATGTTTAGCCACTTCTGATTTCGGAACCTTTATGTGAGGTTCTGTGTTCTGGTAGCTTCTTATGTACAGGTCGGCAAGTCTCCTCCACATAAACACTACCGCATGAGTACAAAACCGCATAACAACCTGACCTGCAGAGGGCGTTGGAAGATTCTCTAAAAGAAGGCATGATCGAGGAAAGCGTTATTGTTTCTTTATACATTGTCTCGACACTCCATTTGCTCAATAATTCGTCTGTCTTTCTTGAACGCTTGCAGGATGGTAGCATTAGGAACCCGGACGAATAGTTGTCTAATTCCTTGTTTTGCCCTAAAAAACGGTTTTCTTTCACCAAATTTCTTAATATTTCGAAATTGTTAACAATTAATTTTAACGGATAATTGTTATCAACTAAACTTTTTCTCGGCCTTTCTAACTCTTATTCCTGGCGATTTATGTCCTCTAGACAGAAACTCCTTATTATTATTGCTTCCATTACGCCTACCTTAACACCATAAGTATGATTCGAGAATAAATTACGCAGAAACCCACATTTGTGGGGTTTTGGGTGATTGTCCATGAATAGTGGTTTCTCGTTCGTCACATGCTGGACGGAGGATCATCACGGAGTCATCGGGGTCGTAGGACGGGGAACCGAGATTTTCTTCGTACAATCCGGCAGGCCAGAGTCCAAAGCAATCCTGCTTTGGTATCAAACGAGGCCATTCTATGACTCGCCTCCACCCCCCTTGTCAAAGGACATTAAAGGTATGCCATTATCAAGTTAGCCACACCTCGCCGTTGGCCCCACCTTAACGCCCAAAGTGTGCACATTCCCTCCTTCCGGCACAGAAACCGGCTGGCCTCGATGGAGAAACAACTGCTTCAGCTGCACGCCTGGTTGCACGCACTGCAGCAGCACCAGACTCCGACGGCGACACGGTCCGGACCGCCTCCGCCGCAGGGCCCGGCTTTCGCCACTCCCGACGGGGCTCTCGGAGGAGTGAGGGACAATGCCGATCCGCTTGATCCGCAGGAGGCCGGGCAAAGCGCCAACTACCAAACGCCCAGCAACTCCAGCCTAGACAGTGCGTGATTTACAACAAGTTTTTGGCCAATCGTCTTTTCATGTATCTTCCAAACCCATTCATTTCAGTCCACTCTGGATGAGAACCACTTTTGGGAAAGCAAAGCTATGTAAAAATTTTAATAGAAACGTCAGCTCAACTCATATCATTTGTGGGAAAATTCTACTTCTACCAGTCCGACATCACCTTAAACGAAATTGGGTGAATACATCTTATATTACTGATTTAATGGTAGTCACGAAAAACAATACTTAATTCGAAAAATAAAGTATAGTAGTCGATTGTTAGAGCATAAAATACGTTTGCTTCCTCGACAATTCCACAAAAAGCATATGATATGGCAAAAAGGCCTGGCCTTCCTTGAAAATTCACATTTGCCC